GGGTCACCTGAACTCAAGATTTGCCCCACAAATCTTGTCCTGTGACACGCACCAGGGAAAGTCACCTGCTTTGCCCCGGAGAGACAAATCACCTGTTGTTTCCGTTCGGGTTCGGAGACGGCCGAAATGCGCTTGGCTGACCGGCAGAAAAATCGAGGACCGGTCAATGTTGTCCTGCGAACGTGGCCGAAACGCGCCCGGCCGAGCGGCCAAACAATCGCTCACAGCTGTCCTACGAACGTGGCCGGAATTCGCTGTGCCGACCAGCAGGAGAATCGAGGCACTTCAGAGACGCAGGGTTGCCTCGCACAGCCGATCGGTTCCCCATCCCCTCTGAGGCTCGCCAGACATGTGACCCGAAATTCGCTGTGCCGACCAGCAGGAGGATCGAGGCACTTGAAAGACGCAGGGTTGTCTCGCACAGCCGATCGGTTCCCCATCCCCTCTGAGGCTCGCACGACATTGACTACCTACCAGACCACGCCAACCCAACCAGAAGACCCGAATTTCGGGTTGGGGGGGTACGGGCTTTCTGTGTGTGTTTTTTCAATGTTCCCCAGCCCCCCCAAACTGGAAATGGAGGGCAAATTGAGGCCTTCGGGTTGGGTCGGGGTGGTTTGGTGGGTGGTGAGACATGTGACACCCGCAGCACATGGTGGAAGCGCTCATGGAGGCGGCCGAAGCCGCCGCCGGCCGTCCAGTGACGATTCGGGCACGCCCGGAGCGCCCTCGGCGAGGCGCAGCAGCCGCCTGGCACCCTCCGAACCCAGAACCCCCCCTCCGAGCGGATGATTTCCTGTTCTATTTCAGCGTCCTCTCGGGAGAAGACGGAGGACACCTGACGGGAACGATAGCGAGAAGCGCAGTGCGGTACGTTTGCCCCAAGACCGCGCGCAACGCGTGCCCCAAAGCGTGCAAACCGTTGGACCAGACCGCGCAGAACGCTTGCCCAGACCGCGCAGCACGCCTGCCCGGACCGTGCGGAACGGGTGCCCTGCAGACCGCACAGCACGGCCCCCCAGACGGTGCAAAATACACCCTGCGAAATGCTTAAGAAATCATGGGTTAAGAAATTCATAGTCTCAGAAATGGAATAAAAACCCAAAAATTCTATTCAAATCTTAGGATTTACATTGAAACATTAAGAATAAACGAGACTCTGGCCGAAAATTTAAGTTTTCTTAAGCATCGCCTAAGGTGTATGGGCCCAGAGCGCGCAGCACGCCGGCCTGGAGCGCGCAGCACGCCTGCCGGGAGCGCGCGCCCCCTCCGAGCGCACCCGCCGCGCGGGCCGCCGAGAGAGGGGCGCTGCCCGCCCCGCGGGCCCCAGGGGCGGGCGGGCGCGCCCGACCCGGAGCACGGCGAGCCTCCTCTGCATGCGAGGCCCCGCTCGCGGGGCCCCCACGGGGGGGGGCCCGCAGTCGCACCCCGAGGCACCCAAGGGCGGCTCCCGCACCACCTGCGAATGCCCAGACCCCCTCGCGCTGCGACCAAAGTCGCGACGGGAAGCTAATGTCGCTCTTTCCGGCCTCCGTGGGGGGGGGGTCCTTGCCGGGCCTCGGGACCGTCAAAGACAGCGCAGGATTCAAGACCGGTCCCGGGAAAGGGGTCCAGACCCCTGCGGCGGCGGCGGCGGAGGGCAATTAATTCTGCAACATGGTTACCCATCGGCCGTTGAAAGTAGGTATTTCTGGAGTCCCAGATTCCAATCTACGTTAAGTGTCTTCCTACTTCTATGATCGAATGGTTTCACATCTTCCGCTCTCCGTGGGGGAAGGCGGACACCCAATCCGCTTTCAAGCCTTCCTACTTTCGGTTTCTACCTACTTCTTCCGACCGATGGGTAACCATGTTGCAGAATGAATTGCCCATCTGTCGGAAGAAATAGGTAGAACCATGACGTAGGAAGGCGCTGAAAGCAGATTGAGTGTCCGCCCGCCCCCAAAGGAGGACGGACGGTGAAGCCACTCGATCATTGAAGTAGGAAGGCGTTTAAAGTAGATTGGAACCTGGGACTCCCAAAATACTTGCTGTCAACGACCGACGGGTAATTCGGCGATCTCGGAAACCCTGAACCCAAGAACGTTTTCATCTCCTGGGGGCGCATCTTTCACTTCCGCCACATTCCGCCGCGGAAGAGATGACAACTCCTTCGGTCTCGACGGCGAGGCCCTCTCAAAGACCGAGACATACCCGCTTTCAACGACCGAGGGGCAGGCGCCGAGCGCGAAAGGCCTCGCGCAGGCGCGACGAGCGCGTGGGGGGAGACGAAAACGCCGTGCGAGGTGCGGCGCCGCGCGGCGCCGCACGCGCCACGGCGGTGGAACGCCGCGGCCGTGCCGCGCGCGCACTGGAACACGGCCGCGCGCCGCCCTGCAGTGGATCTCCCGCAGCCTTTTTCGACGGATTTTGGCGCTCTCGCCCTTTTGTTCGGCGGTCCGACGCTCCAAGACGACCCGGGAGGCCCCCCAAGACCACCCCGCGGCCGCACGGGAGGCCCCGAGAGGGCCCCGAGACGGCCCAAGAGCGCGTCAGGACGGCCCGAGAAGCACGCCGGTCGTGCCGTGGCCCACCGCCCTGCACTCGAACACGCCGCGCACGACGCGACCCGCGCGGCGGCGCCGGACAGGCCATCGGGAAACGCCAAGCGCGAGCTGGGGGCGCAACGCCGCGCGCGGGAATGGCAGCGCGGGCGCGGCGGACGCGCGCGTTGGCGCGGGCGGGGGCGGCGAACGCCGCGCGGCCGCGGCCGCGCGAAGCCGCCGCCCTGCGCGGGAGACGCAGGCGAGAGGGGTCGCGCGGCGACGGCGCTCGGCACGCGCGCGCTGGACAAGCTCCAGGAAATCGACGGACGGATGCGCGGGCTCGCCAAGCGCGCGGCGGCGGAGAAGGGGGAGCAGTCCTGCGCGGGGAGCCGCCGGCGAGGGCGTCGGGCGCCGCGCGGCGTCCCCGCCGCGAGGCCATAGGTTAGGGCTCGGCCCGCCGCCCTGGCTGGGAGGGCACGGCGAGCGAGAGAGGTCGCGCGACGACGGCGCTCAGCTCTCTCGGGTGGGAAGGCGCCATGCGCGTGGGGGTCACGCGAGCGTGGGCGGCGAAAAAACGAAAAGGCACCCGGCGCCGCGGCCGCGCGGCGGCGGCGGCGGTGCACCTCTGCCGGAAAAAACGCTGCCTGGGAGGAATCGCGCAGGCAAGGCGCGCGCGCGCGGGTGGGGCGAACGCCGCGCGCTGCCGCGCGGCGCCGCAGATGCGCGGCGGCGGCGCTGGGCCCCATCGCCCTGCATGAGGCAGCGCCGCGTCTGAGAGAAGTCGCGCGGCGGCGGGGACGGGCAGTCCTGCGCGGAAGCGCGCCGAGCGCGCGCGGTGGCGCACTGGCGCAGCGAGCGCGATCGGGGGCGGCGAGCGCCGCGCGGCGCCTCGTGTCTGTGTTACATTACCAAGGGAAATCGGAAACATGCTTATCTATTAATATAATAGGTAAACATGTTTTCTATGCCTTCCCGTATTGATGAGAACATGTGATATCTGCATGTTCCTTCTTGTATGAAGCACATATGCCACAGTTGCCCCATGCATTTCCGAATCGTATGAAGCATGGGGCATATGTGCGGTAAGCAAGTGTTCTATTCTCCCATACGGCTAAGTAGATGTTGTATATGTTGACATGATGCCCCCATTCTACAATGTGAAAAGGATGCCACATTTACATGCTAATATAGAACATAGAAAACGCGTTTACCGATTACTACTTGAACACGCTTTATATTAATCCCAATGAATGGGCAACGATGTCCAATTCCCTATCAGATGGACGCCCGCTAAGGACTCTCTTGTCAGATGCTCCAAAATTACAACACAAGGCTCACCAAGGAGGCGACCGTTTGTTGTCTGCAGCGGCCCCACACTTGTCACAACGCCGAACTCGGAGGGCCGTGTGCGCAATGTCATTACGAAGGGTCGTAGAATGTGGGTACAGTCATCGGCCTGACCTAAGGAACGATAAATAAGGAACGAAGCCCCTTGTCGTTCCAAGTGAGTCTACGAAGTCCGAAGGAACACCAGGGGGGGGCTCGCCGCCAAAAAGGTAGCAGAACGCATGCAAACCTAAGGAACGACCGAGCCCCTTTTGAAAAGGAAGTGTTCCTTATTCAAGCCGGTCACTGTACGATCTCCTACCGCAGGCGCCATGAACGTGCCATTCGACCTAAAAACACGAGGTCGACCGCAATCAATGTATGGTGGACTCCTTGGCCGAACCAAAGCACTGAAGACACCTCTGCTTACAGTCACAGTCGTTTAAGCGCTGGGGGGGGAGGATGGGTGAGTCAGCAGCGACAGAAAAGGCAATCATGCAGGACGGAACGGAGACGAGATAGTCGATGCTGCAGTGGTCGCCAACTCAGGCGCGGATCCTCGCCAATTTGGGAGTTTAGTGGTAATCATTTCTGGAGAGCACGGCCGGGGTGGCCAATACATCGATTCTGTGCGAGCTCGGGCGCCAACGTACAATGAGAGGCGGCCTGACGCGACCAGAAACGATCTGCGGGCCTGCCTGAAATTCTGGACAGAACAAGCTGGCTGAGATGAGCCAATTGCAACCTCGATGGCTGCGCCAACGGTGCCTCTGGAAACTGGAAACCGTACTGTCCAGTGCAAGCTCAGGTCCTGCACACGGCCAAGGGCGCGCCCATCGTCATCTGCGAGGGTGGCCGCGACCACCGCGTGCCCTGTGATCTTTGCACCTGCACGTGTAAGGAGGAGGAGGAGGAGGAGGAGGAGGAGGAGGAGGAGGAGCAGGAGGGGGAGGAGGAGAAGGAGGAGGAGGAGGAGGGGGATGGGGAGGAGGAGAAGGAGGAGGAGGATGATGAGGAGGAGGAGGAGGAGGTAGAATAAGTTCAGGAATCGGAAAATAAACGAATGTATAAGTGCGAGCGCTGTCCTCATCATTAGACGCAGCGCCTGGGACGTCGACGAAGCCTAGGGAACCAACGACGTGGCAAGGAAGATCACGCATCCGCGTTAGAGACGGACGCGAGAGCCAGAGCCACATCGAGCGCAGGCTTGGCAATGCCTTCCCAGAAAGGCGTCTCGGTTCTTAGGCCAAACCGCATGCAGGGCAGACATTCAACCGACCCACATATACATGCATATCTATATACAAACATATACACATACAAGACTGCAGTGGCGCTTCGCGCCATGCAGGCGGCGTGCGTGCGCGTGTACATTCGCGCATGAATATGCACATGCATGTCTACATGCGCACGTGCATGCACGTTGGACATATATATATATATATATGTATATATATATGCACGCATACATACAAGTATATAGGCACACATCAATTCACCCCTACATACATACATACATACATACATACATACATACATACATACATACATACATACATACATACATACATACAAACAAACAAACAAACATACATACACACATACATACATACATACATATATACATATATACGTACATGCATGCATGCATGCATACATACATACATAATGCATGCATGCATGCATGCATACACGCATACGTACATACATACATACATACATACATACATACATACATATATACATACATACATACATACATGCATACATTCATACTTTCATACACGCATATATGCATACACAGACATACAGACAGAGATACATAAGTACGTACGTACGTGCATACATACATATGTATGTATGCGTATGTGAACGTTGCGGTGTACGCAACGTCGAAATAGGTCTGCGCATACAAATGTAGAATGTCTACTTGTATACATCTACGTATTCACACATGCATGTAATTATGCATGTGCACATACATGTGCACGCGCCTGCGCGCGCGGGGAGCAACGAGAAACTCGCTGGCCCAACGGGCCAGAGGCGTGCTAGGAGCTGCAGTAGCAAGCGTAAGAAGAGCTGCCGCAAAGTACAAAGCAATGCCAAGCCGAGGATGTCATGTTGCAGCAGGTCACAACGGGGCGCGCGAACGTAAGCAACTCTTGGGGGATACACCGAATCCCGGGGTTCGCAACAGATTTCCGGGAAATGTGGTTGCGAACCCGGGCTTCGGGTCTATTTGGTGGAAAACACCGTGTGGGCCTTGTTGGAGCCCTGGTGGGCCAGCTTGGGGTCCTCTCGAGCCGTCCTGGGGCCATCTTGGGCCGTGTTGGGGAGCTTGGGCCCTCTAGGGACCTCACGGAGTCTACGTAGGCCCTCCTGGTGGCCTCCAATGGCCTTTTTGGGAGCCTCCCATGGTCTTCTTGGGCTTCTCTTGGGGGCCTTGTGAGGGCCTGAGGGGTCTCTTTTTGGCTCATTCGGGGCTTCCTTGGGCAATCTTGGGGCCATCCAGGCCGTCTAGAGGCTCTTTTGGGGGTCTCTTGGGCCGTCTTGGGGCGATACCGGAAGCCTTTTTAGTAGGACGCTGCTAAGACCCGAACAGCGAATACACTGAAAATGCACCTTTCCCTAAGGGAATGAAGCAATTCTTGCGTTCTGGGAGTCCTGCTGAGGGCCTCCTGGGCCGTCTTTGGGGCCTCTGGAGGCCATCTGGGTCCTTTTTGGAGCGCTCTTGTGTTGTCTTGGGTCTTTCTTCGGCCTCTCTGATCACCGCTCTGATCGCTTGGGGTCTGCTAAGAAACTCGCCTAAGCGCCCTGGGAGGTCCAGGACAAGCCGGGGAACCCTTGGCAAGGATGTCTGGGGTGCCCGGAAACCCCAGATCCTGGTGGTCTGCTTTTTTGGGGTGTGTGAGGGGATTTCCCACTCCCCGGCTTGCAAACATAGAGGAATAGGAATATGTGTATGTGTATGTGTATGGACATGTATATGTATATACGTATACGTATACGTATACGATGCGTGTAGGTAGATGTATATGAAATTGTATATGCATATGTCTATGTGTACGTATAAGTCTGTGTATACACACGAACATGATGTAGAATGCTTGCTCCGAGCCGAAGGCACAGGCCGAAAACGTATACCACGGGCGTACGCCAAGCCCGCATCTGCAAATGAATTTCCATTGCGCCAATAATCCGACACCGCGCCCGCAGCGGCGATAGCCCAATGAGGTCCCAGATAATCTTCGGAGGCATGTAAGATCGATCAACTTGGCCCAAGATGGCCCTCAACATGTATCCAATCTGCTCCATTATGGCCCCAAGTTGGCTCAAACTGGCCACGGTCCTCTCAAGGATGCCCCTGCGATACCAGAGCCAATCAAGCACATGAGGTACTCAATACCTGCTCTTCTGTTCGGCTTCCGGTGAGTCTCTGGGGCCTGCAAAGTGGGCACTGTAAGGTCCAAGCGGAGCACAGATAGCCCCAAGAGGGCCCTGAGAGACAAATTCTCGGGCTCCTCAATCAAGGGGCTCCGATGGTGTGCACCCCCTCTTTTTGGTCTACTATCTCTGGGATGGCCCCAGGACGGCCCGAAAGACTCCAAACATGAGTCCAACAGAGCCCAAGAATGGTCCTCCTCCTCCTCCTCCTCCTCCTCCTCCTCCTCCTCCTCCCCGTGCCAATGGTGCGAAGGGCTCCTGTTGGGTAGTCAGGTAAGGACGCACGGGGCGCCTGTAAGGAGACCATCGATCTCCGAAGAGCACCTCACCCGAGCCCTCTGGAGTTACGCCACCGGGGCGACACAGGTAATCTGGTTTCAAATAGGGGTCCTCCCATACCCGCTTGAAAATCGCCATGTCGAGCGAGCAGTTGCTTACTCGACATATCAGGAAGCTGGAAGTTATTTCCTGGCTCCTCCTTACTTGCCTTATGAATCAGGTTATTATTTGGCATTCGCACGAGGTGTATTACCTCCACAGGGCAGCGCCCTGATACGGCTGTATGGGGTGGGCCTTCCCAAGTCTTGCATTATTGAGGAGGTAGTCTTGCCAATACCAGGCATTGTGTTCATGCGTTGGCCCCTCATGCCGGGGCTTCGTTCCCTCATGCTCTTACCACTCACGCTGGGGAAGTGCCCCTTCATGCGTCGGGGCTTCGGCCCCTCATGCCCTGACCCCTCATGCTGGGGCCTTGGCTGGCCCCTCATGCGCTGAACCCCTCATGCTGGGGCATTGGCCCTTCATCCTTCATGCGTTGAATCCTCATGCCAGGGCTTCGGCCCCTCATGCGTTGACCCCCTCATGCTGGGTCATTGCCCCTTCAGGCGTTGAACCTTCGTGCCGGGGCTTCGGTCCCTCATGCGCTGACCCGCTCATGCTGGGGCCTTAGCTGGCCCCTCATGCGGTGACCCCCCCATGCTGGGGAATTGGCCCTTCATGCGTTGACCCCCTCATGCCAGGGCTTCGGCCCCTGATGCCCTGACCCACTCATGCTTGGGCATTGGCTTGCCCCTCATGCGTTGACCCCCTCACGCTGGGGGATTGGCCCTTCATGCGTTGACCCCTCATGCCGGGGCTTCGGCCCCTCATGCCCTGACCCCTCATGCTGGGGCCTTAGCTGGCCCCTCAGGCGGTGACCCCCCCATGCTTGGGCATTGGTCTTGCATGCGTTGACCCCGCTTGCTGGGGCAGTGCCCCTTCATGCGTCGGGGCTTCGGCCCCTCATGCCCTGACCCCTGATGCTGGGGGATTGACTGGCCCCTCATGCGTTGACCCCCTCATGCTGGGGCATTGGCTCTTCATCCTTCATGCATTGACCCCTCATACCCGGACTTCGGCCCCTCATGCGTTGACCCCCTCATGCTGGGGCCCTGGCTGGCCCCTCATGCGTTGACCCCCTCATGCTGGGGCATCGGCCCTTCATGCGTTGACCCCTCATGCCCGGGCTTCGGCCCCTCATGCCCTGACCCGCTCATGCTTGGGCATTGGCTGGCCATTCATGCGTTGACCCCCTCATGCTGGGGCATTGGCCCTTCATGCGTTGACCCCTCATGCCGGGGCTTCGGCCCCTCATGCCCTGACCCGCTCATGCTGGGGCCTTGGCTTGCCCCTCATGCGTTGACCCCCTCATGCTGGGGGATTAGCCCTTCATGCGTTGACCCCTTCTTGCGTTGACCCCTCATGCTGGGGCATTGGCTGGCCCCTCATGCGTTGACCCCCTCATGCTGGGGCATTGGCCCTTCATGCGTCGACCTACGATGCTTGGGCCGTGGTCCCTCGCACGTCGACCCCTCATGCTGTGGCCGCGGCTGGCCCCTCATAGATTGACTCCAACATGCCCCCTCATGCGTTGACTCATCATGCCCCCTCATGCGTCGGGGCTTCGGCCCCTCATGCCATGAACCCTCATGCTGGGGCCTTGGCTGGCCCCTCATGCGTTGACCCCCTCATGCTGGGTCATTGGCCCTTCATGCGTTGACCCCTCATGCCCGGGCTTCGGCCCCTCAGGCCTTGACCCCTCATGCTGGGGCCTCAGCTGTCCCCTCATGCGTTGACCCCCTCATGATGGGGCATTGGCTCTTCATCCTTCATGCGTCGACCCCCTCATGCCCTGACCCCTCATGCTGGGGCCTTGGCTGGCCCCTCATGCGTTGACCCCCTCATGCCATGCTGGGGCATTGGCCCTTCATGCGTTGACTCCTCATGCCGGGGCTTCGGCCCCTCATGAACTTACCCCTCATGCTGGGGCCTTAGCTGGCCCCTCATGCGGTGACCCCCCTATGCTGGGGCATTGGTCTTTCATGCGTTGACCCCTCATGCTGGGGCTTCGGCCCTTCATGCCCTGACCACTCATGCTGGGGCCTTGGCTGGCCCCTCATGCGCTGAACCCCTCATGCTGGGGCATTGGCCCTTCATGCGTTGACCCCTCATGCTGGGGCCTCAGCTGGCCCCTCATGCCCTGATCCCTCATGCTGGGGCCTTGGCTGGCCCCTCATGCGTTGACCCACCCATGCTGGGGCATTGACCCTTCATGCGTTGACCCCCCCCCCATGCTGGGGCATTGGCCCTTCATGCGTTGACCCCTCATCTTCCCGCTCCAAATGCTACTTACCCCTAACAGGGCAACCTTCCCCGTGTGCTACCACTAACCCGGGTAGTCAACTCTTTTCTCCGCACGCGCTACCCTCACCTTGGCATGCGTTGGCATGCATTGGCATTCATTGGCATGCACTGACATGCATTGGCATGCGTTGGCATACAGTGGCATGCATTGGCATGCGTTGGCATGCGTTGCATACATTGGCATGCGTTGGCATGCATTGGCTGTGTCGGCATGCACTGGCATGAACTGGCATGCACTGGCATGCGTCGGCATGCACTGGCATGCGTTGGAATGCATTGGCATGCATTGGCATGTATTGGCATTAATTGGCATGCTTTGGCATGCGTTGGCATACATTGGCATGCACTGGCATGCACTGGCATGCGTTGGCATGCGTTGGTATGCATTGGCATGCATTGGCATGCGTTGGCATCCATTGGCATGCTTTGGCATGCAGTGGCATGCGTTGGCATGTATTGGCATGCACTGGCATGCATTGGCATGCGCTGGCGTGCTATGGCATGCGCTGGCGTGCGTTGGCGTGCATTGGCATGCTTTGGCATGCGTTGGCATGCGTTGGCATGTATTGGCATGCGCTGGCATGCGGTGGCGTGCGTTGGCATGCTTTGGCATGCGTTGGCATGCGTTGGCATGCGTTGGCATGCGTTTGCATGCATTGGCACGCATTGGCATGCATTGGCATGCATTGGCATGCATTGACATGCGTTGGCATGCGTTGCCATGCGTTGCATACATTGGCATGCTTTGGCATGCATTGACATGCGTTGGCATGCGTTGGTATGCATTGGCATGCATTGGCATGCATTGGCATGCATTGGCATGCGTTGGCATGCATTGGCATGCGCTGGCATGCAGTGGCAACCCTCCCCGCGTGCTACCCCTAACCCGGGCAGCCAATTCGTCCTTGTGGGGGCTACTAGCCAGGGCGAGCCCTCGCTAGCACCCCCTGCAACCCAAGCAGACCTGGCAGTTTGGTCAGTGATCCTCCTCCTCCTCCTCCTTCTCATCCTTCTCCTCCTGCTCCCTCCTCCTCTTGGGTCCCATGATAGCTCCCACAGGCTCCAAGAGTCCGACGAGTTGCCCAGTCTTGGGGACCGCTCGAGCCAAGCCCAGCTGCGGCTTCAGGGGTGACCCCCTTTCTGTTAGCACCGAGTACCGACGACCCTTCGCACGGCACGTCTCCTACAAGCCTCGTCAAACGGTAGATTGAAACGCTGCTCAACATGGAAGCGCTCGATAGTTCGGGCACTTGTCAGAAAACGCGTTCGCCAATGCTTTGAGGGTACTGCTGGACTTCGGACACGCGCATGGGCCGAATACCTCATGCCGGCGCTGAAGTAGCGCCGACCACGCAAGCACCGAAACCAAACACCGTCATTTAGGTTTGACGAGTCTTGTAGGAATCGCTTCTGAATGGGCTGATCGTAGAGAAACAAAAACTGGCATAACCATAAACTGTTGGCGCTCCGCGCAGATGTCCTGGATCCGCGCAGAACACCCTCTCTGGCGCGCGAAGCACGCCAGGGGCGGCGCCGGAGGCGCTGCTCTGGGGGCCTCACCGCCCCCTGGGGGGCTCGCGATCTGCGCAACTGTCGGCACTTTCGTGGGCTCCTGGGAGGCCCAGCGGAGGTCCGTCATACGCGGACCATCGGGACCTCGCCGCTCCCTTGGGGGCTTGCGATTGGCCGTTCCTCTTCTTGCTGCGCTCTTCTGAAATCACAGCTGAGCACTGTGGGTCCTTCAGAATGCCAGTCAGCATTGAATGGTCCTGAATATAATCGCCGCATGTATAGAAAGGGTTGGGTACGTCCCAGGGTAATTAGGGCTATAGGGCTATGGGGCTACTGGGCTATAGGCCTATGGGGCTATGGGGCTATAGGAATATGGGGCTATAGGGCTATGGCCATAGGGCTATAGGTCTATAGGGCTATAGGACTATGAGGCTATAGGGCCATAGGGCCATAGGGCTATAGGGCTATTGGGCTATAGGGCTATAGGGCTATGGGACTCTGGAGCTATGGGACTATAGGGCGTTTGGGCCGTAGGGCTATGAGTCTATAGGGCTATGGGGTTATAGGGCTATAGGACCATAGGGCTATAGGGCTATAAGGGTATAGGACTATGGGGGTATGGGCCTGTACGGCTATAGGCATATAGAGCTATAGGACTATACGGCTACCGGGCTATGAGGCTGTAAGGCCATACGGCTATAGGGCTATATGAATATAGTGCTATAGGGTTGCAGGGATATAGGGCTATAGAGCTATAGGGTTATAGGGCTAAAGATCTACAGGGCTATTGGGCTATAGGGTTATCGGGCTATGGGGCTATAGGGCTATAGGGTTCCAGGGCGATAGGGCTATTAGGCTATAGGGATATGGAGCTATAGGGCTATTGGGTTATAGGGTTATGAGGCTATAGGGCTATGGGGCTATAGGGCTATAAGGCTTTTGGGCTATAGGGCTACAGGGCTACAGGGCTGTAGGGCTATAGGGCTATAGGGCTATATAAGGCTATAAGGCACCCTGGCATCCGGGCACCAAGGCACCTGGGCACCCGGGCAGTCCGCCGAAATCGGTGGCAAACCTCACGCTAGGACCCCTACAGAGGCAAGCTCTGATTGGGGAATGAATCCGCTGGGACCCCTGCAGAGGCAAGCTGTGATTGGGGAATGAATCCGCTAGGGCCCCTACAGAGGCAAACTCTGATTGGGGAAAAACTTCTCCCTGTCGCACCCCAAAGCCAGTTTTTAGGGCGGGCCGGGCGTTTCGCCTGAGAGTGCCTCACCATTTCTGATTCTGAAGCTTAAAAATTGTCAACCGTTTCACATTTGGAGGGCGGGTGGTCTTCAAAATCTGGCTCTCGCCTTAGCGCCGCGTGCATTCGTTCTGAATCGGTCTATGGGGCTTTAAGGCTAAAGGACCATAGGGCTATAGGGCTATAGGGAAATCGGGCTATGGGGCTATAGGGCTATAGGCATGTAGAGCTCTGGGACTATAGGGCTGTAGGGCTGTAGGGCTACTGGGCTATAGGGCTATGGGGCTACTGGGCTATAGGGCTATAGGGCTATAAGGCTATAGGGCTATAGGGCTATAGGGCTATAGGGCGATAGGGCTATGAGGCTATAGGGCTATAGGGCTATAGGGCTATAGGCTATAGGGCTATAGGGCTGTGGGGCTATAGGGCTATATAGAGCTATTTGGCTCTAGCTCTAAGGCCATAGGGCTATACCTGGGCACCCGGGCACCCACACGGGCGCCTGGGCATCCGGGCGGGCCGCGGAAATCGGTGGCAAGGCTCACCTAACCGTATAAATCCGCTAGCACCCCTACAGAGGCAAGCTCTAAGTGGGGAAAACCGTCAAGAATAATCGTCCCCAGACTGTCTTTTGGACTCTTTTTGAATCTTCCTCCTGTGGAGAGACACGGACAGGCCAGGGAAAGCTAGAGGCAGAGCAGCCACAGGCCGGCCGGAGCCGCGACGGGGCCCCCAAGAGGGGGGGCCGCCCACGACGAGGCCACGGCCACCGACGGCGACGCCGACCCGGCAGCGCAGGTGGACGAGCTGGAATTCTGAGTTGACCACCTCCTCCTCCTCCGCCTCGTCCTCCTCCGCCTCGTCCTCCTCCTCCTCCTGCTCCTGCTCCTCCTCTTCCTCGTCCTCCTCCCCGTCCCCTCCTCACCCTCTGTTCCTGCTGCTGCTGCTGCTCTCCTCCTCTCCTCCTCCTCCTCCTCCTCCTCCTCCTCCTCCTCCTCCTCCTCCTCCTCCTCCTCCTCCTCCTCCCCCCCCCCCTCCTCCTCCTCCTCCTTCTCTTCCCTCAAACTTACACTCACGCGGTTCGTCCACGAACGACCCCCTGGCCGGGCGGGGGCGCGCCAAACCCAGCTTCCGGGGGCCAGGGGACCTCAGGTTAGACGATGAAGGGCGGCCCGTGGATGATGATGGTGGGATCAGGCAACACCTAAGGGAACGAAGAACGACGTAAAAATAAAACATCGGAGGTCCGCGCGGACTTCTCGGATCGGCGCTGTGGCCCCCTGGCGGCGCCTCCGGCGCCGCCCCTGGCGCACTCCGCGCGCCAAGGAGGGGGGTCCAGCGCGGATCCACGGAATCCGCGCGGACCTCCGAGTTTTTATGTTCATGTCATCGTTCGTTCCCCTATGGTAGGATCAGGCAACATCGGATCGGGAGACCGGATCGAAGCTGAACGTGCGTTGGATCGGGCTACATCGGCACCACGGTCGGAATCGAATCGGATCGGCCGCACGAAGATGCACAACAACGCCCATGGAAACCTCGGGCCGCAGCGGACCGACAGGACATCGAAATCAAATCGGATCCAGCGTGGTGAACCCGGCATCGAATCTGATCGATGGAACCGGAATGGGCCCTACATGGTGGTCTGGGGAGCGTCGGGGTCGTCGTAAGTCCGAGCGAAGATGGACATGATCCACCAACGACGGCCCGAGACCGTTCCGAGATTGCCCCACGACGGCCCACTGCCAGCCCAGAACGGCCCCGCCACCCGAGACACCGCAAGACACGCCCATAGCGGCCCCACCACCCAAAACACCGCAAGACACGCCATAACGTCCCCACCACCCAAGACACCCACCACAAGACACCCCATACCGGCCCAGGACGGCCCAGAGACCATCACAGGGTCGCCCAAGAGACCCCCGAGACACCCGCAGGAGGGGTCTCGCAACAACCATGCAACGCCAGGGCCGGCCCGAACTGCAACGCTGCTGCGCAGCTTGTCCGAAGTCGCCCTTTCTGGTGTTCCACGACGTGGGCACTGGAGCTATCGACCTCGCTCCCAGAGCATGTTTTTTTGCCGAGGGCCGTTCGTAGCGTGTTCGCCGTCCCGCAGCCTCCAGAGACCCAACATCGAGAAGCAAACGACTTACTTACTACCCTGCGGCGGGGGGAGCGATCGCGCCGCGGCCGAAGCGGCTACCGGGTCACGGAAGTCAACGCTCGTTGCGCGCGAGAGGAGGGGAGGCGGAAGGAGAGGCGGCCGCGGAGAGAAGAAAGACGAGGGCACACTCAGGACATGTGCTCCTTCGTGGAGGAGCAGTGGGCCCCCCCTCGTCAGGGCTGGACCTAAACGTTGCGTTTCGTTTTGTCTTCGTTTTGCTTTTCGTTTTGCCCTACCTGTTTTCCTGGACCTCCCTCCCAAAACGGAAAACAAAACACAGTCGAGGTCCAGCAAAATAGCGCTCAGGTCCAGCCCTGCCCCCCGTGGATTTGTTCAGGACGCGGGATGTCGGGAATGCGCGCGCAGCGCAATTTGATCAAATATGTGCCGCGTCAGAACGCATACCAACACAGTACGAGGGACACCAGGATGATCACGGCGGGGGCGAATGCCCAGGTGAGGACGTGCACCTCGGGAGCGCCCGCCTCCCCGCCTCTTCATCATCATTCCCATCTTCTTTCCCCCCTCGTCTTCTTGGTGGCCGTCACACAGGGAAGGCCGCGCCCATTCAGCAGAGACAACTAACTAGTTGGCACTCAGAGCCAGTCTAGTCTACATGTCAGCGTGGCCAGGACACCAGCAGGCATTCGGGGGGGGGGGAATCCCTTCAGAGGCAGCCTATGCCCGCTGCCCGCCATCGCCATATCATGCCCCCTTCGTCCCATTGCTTCCCTGTCCTCTGTTCCTCTGGGCTGGGACAGGCTGCAATCGCTCGGATGTCTCCTCGTTCACTCTCTCTCCGAAAGGTCCCTGGAGACTCCCGAAGAGGCTGCGGAAGGCCAAAAGTTCGGCCTAAAACCTCAAGGAGGTGTTCTTCATGAGGTTTCCTTCTTGAGGTTTGGCCACAAGTTTGGTTCAAACAAGTTTCTTCGTGAGGTTTTGGCCCAACAGCTCAAGAAGCTCCCCGTCCTCCTCGCAGTCACAGGAGAGGACCGGGGCGCCGAAGAGGGGGGCCACCAAGCGATGGGGGGGGGCAGCATGGCCCTAGGCATGTACGCGGGCGAGGGGATGCCAACAGAAGCGCTGAGAGAAAAAAGGGGGGCCATGGAGTCTCGGGGATCTACTGACCCGGGTCAATCCAGCCCCGGGCCAGTCAGGCTTCGCAGGCTCCCGCAGGATCCTGCGCCCACACAAGGGTCGGTGCGCCCCCTGGCGCTGCAGGATGCTGCAAGATCTGGCGCTCTAGCTGACCCCCTTTTGCATCGACCCCCGTCTCTCGAGCCCCGAGAACCTGGGAGACGCCGCGGCCCGGCCGTGAGATCCACAGGCAGTCCTCCCCCCGCTCCTGGACGCACGCGAAAGGGAAGGGGGGGGTGGGGGAGGAAGCGCGACCCGCGTTCGGAGCCGCCGGGGCGCCTGGCCCATGGTCCGCTTCAGCTTGCCGATCTTCCCGACCGCCGCCTCGCGTGGCAACGGGCCGTCCTCGTCGAGGAGGAGGAGGAGGAGGAGGCGGAGGAGGAGGGAGGAGGAGGGGAGGAGGAGGAGGTGGAGGAGGAGGAGGAGGAGGAGGAAACGTCCCCCGTCAGCTGCGCCGCGTCGAAGGCCCTCCCGAGGAGCCCAGGGTCGTCCCCAGAGGCCGCCCGCGGCCCGGGCCGTGGCCCCGGAGGCAGGTGCTGCTCCGACGACGCTGACGACGCGCTCGAATGCGATGGGAGGCCTCCGCGGGGACGAGTGGACTCTGAGAGCGGGGCAGGCGGAAGTGGAAAGGGTGGCGCCCCGCGCGTCTCGTGCGGGGGTCGGGCACGAACCAGCAGAGCTTCCCCACCCCCGCCGCTGGGACGAACTGGGCCGAGGATGCATTGCGGAAGGAGGCGCAGAAGCAAGACGCCCCAGAGAGCCACCCGCCAGTGACCGACGAGGGCGAAGCAATTGACACACAATACATCCCCAGGACGAAAGTTCTTCCCTCTTGGCCCGGAACGAAGGTTTGAAGTCTTAAGCAGACGCGTGTGAGATACCCGCCGTCGGATCCAATGAAGTTCGCGCGGATCCAATTTTGGTTTTGGTTTGCGTTTCGGTGGATCCGATTTCCGTCCGCGCGGATCCGATTCCGGATTTGCTGGATCCGTGTTCGGTCTTATTTTTCACGGCGGATCCGATTTCTACCCTGTACTAAATTAAAACAGGAAGCCGGAAGAAATCGGATCCGCGGACCCCGCAAACCGCTCCCGTTAAGATTCTACGGGGGATGGGGGGCTCGGTAATCAACTTTCCACGATGGGCGCTGCGTCGTCTCGCGCACTCCCATCAACTCCCCGCCTGAGCGGGTCCCATTCAACATGAATACATACATCCCTCTCACCAGGGTTGCTGCAAACAGCTCGTCTGGTCGCCGTCCGTTCGGCGGCGCCGACGTTGTCTCGCGAACTCCGCATGACCATTTTCACCTCAAGAGGAACATCTTTCGTCCTGCGTGAGTACTTTATGATTTCGACGACGGCTGGCTTCTGGCAGGCAGGAGTTGGACACTGATACTTGGGGTGCACGGACGGATCCCTCGCATACCTCTGGGAATCACTGCCCAACAGATATGGACAAAGCCGCCTCGTCCGCGAGCGGCAATGCCGCCGAGAGCGGCAAAGCGGAGCACGCCGTCACGGCGGGGAAGAGCAGCAAGCGGAGGCCAGAGCGGGGCGACGCACGCACCGTCCCCATCCCCTCATCGGCGCCCCTTGCGCTCCACCCCGGTATGAGGCCCCCTTCCAGCGCCTTCGCTCTGCAGTCTCCCCCGCTCGCTCCCGCAGGCACAGAGTCCTCGAGCTCCGCGAGCAGCAGACGGACTTGATCACGCTGCGGGCGGCTTCACCGCGCGGGCGGAGAGGCACACGGACGGGACACCGCGGAGCCATGCGGCGGAGGGGGCGGATGCGGCTTTGCCCTCAGGCGGCAGGCACTTACCGAACACGACCCAGTGGACAGCGCGGTGGTCGCAGCGAAGGGCCAGCTGAAGAAATCCCGCCAGCCCTTTAGGGCATGAGTGGTCCAACGAGCACATGTTATGCGAACCTTAGGTCGGACATGTCCTCCTACAGGCGGATTTTGAAAGACACATGGAAAGTAGTTCAAACAGGTTCACAAGCAGTCAATCATAGTAGAAACAGTGTCCCCATCGTATGTTTGACTATGTTTGAATCTCCCCCCTGTAGCAGAACATGTCCGACTTAATGCTAACCCTCTTCCTTCGCCTTCGGGGAGGGGGCCTCCTCTCTTTCCACCCCCATCCACCTAGGTCTGGAACCCTCCCCTCGCGAGGCGCCATAGGGTCCTTTTTTGGCACCAGGTTGCTCCAAGAAGGCCCCAGGGAGCCTGAGATGGCCTCCAAGATCGCCCAAGACGGCCCACGACGGTTCCAGATAGCCGCCAGCATGCCTCCAGGAGCTCCCAGGACCGCCCCAGGACGACCGCAGTGGCCCTCCGAGCCTTCCAGGGGAGCCCCCAGGAGGCCCACACCCTTCAAGACCCATGTGCGCTCCTCGATGCTTGCTGGCCTTCTCGCCCTTTCGCTCCCGATGGGCTGTTGACGCCGCGAGATGGCTCCAAGATGGCCCCAGGAGGGGGCCCAAGACGGCCCCGAAGGCGCCCAAGGCCGCCCCGAGAGCGGCCCAAGAGGCCCCAAGAGAGACGATGCTCCTGGCCCAGACGGAGGGGCCCTGGGAGCCCCCCCCCCACCCTTTTCATCGATGGCCTTAAGTCGGGCCTGTCCCCCTACAGAGGGATCTTCGACGAAAAATAAACAATACCTCAAACATACCCCCAAATGGTCAAACAAACTAAAACAAAACAGTCCCCAGACTATGTTTTGACTGTTTTTGAAGATTCCCCCTGTAGAGGGGCAGGCCCGACTTAACGATGGCCTCCGGGATGGCTCCCGCGCGGCCCCCCAGGGCGCCCAAGATGGACCCAAGAGAGGCCCAAGAGCGCCCGAAGAGGGCCCCCCGAGAGACCCCCGCAGGGCCCCGGAGGCTTCCGAGAGGGGGCCCCCCAGGGCCCCACGATGGCTTCCAGAGGCCGCCCAAACGCTCCCAAAGCGAATGATCGCAAAGGTCTTGACATTGACTCATGTCGTCGTCGTCGTCGTCGTCGTCGTCGTCGTCGTCGTCGTCGTCGTAGTAGTCGTCGTCGTCGTCGTTGGTCGACACGCGCCAATCTGAATGCACGCACGGCGAGTAACGACAGGCAACCACTCCACCCAGGCGGCGACCCAGGGACGCACGACGTATTACAGGCACCGCAGGCGACGCCAAGCAGCCACTCAGCCAGGACAACCACGAGGAGCCGCGAAAGGCACGCAACGATGCGGACGCCATCCATCAAGCGCACAGGGCGCCTGTGGCTACTCTGATCGAGTGGTTGCCTCTCGTCGCTCCCTGAGCGGATCCCCCTCGCAGTCGCAGTCAACTCGTCGTAAGCGTCGTCGTTGTCCTCGCTGTGCACATGCTCGTCTTTGTCGGCCTCGGAAGACGCAGGGGTAACTGGTCCAGGGGAGCTCGTTTCTCTTCGCCCGCTTGCTCCTCCTCCTCCTCCTCCTCCTCCTTCCCCTCCTCCTCCTCCTCCTCCTCCTCCTCCTCCTCCTCCTCCTCCTCCTCCTCGTCCACGTATCTGCGAAGACGGACGCGATTCACTGCCGGACCGCATGCCGCGTCCAGCCGTGGCGATGGGAACCCTCTCGGAGGCGCAGGAAGAAGCCCAGGCACGTCCAAAAGCATTGACCCTCCTCAAACTCGCCGGCGCCGCTGCAGTCGTTCCCGCAGTCGTTGCCGCCGTCGTCGCCGTCGCCGTCGCCGTCGTCCTTGGCCTCAGGCCCCGAAGTTAGGTTGCGAAGGCTCAGCGTTGACAAAACTGAACGCCTGGGATGAAACTGGACGTCCGCAGTCGCCGCCGTCGCCGGCGCCACCGTGGTCGTCTTCGTCGTCGCCGCCGCCATCGCCGCCGCCGTCGCCGTGGTCGTCGTTGTTGTTGTTGTCGTCGTCGTCGTCGCGTCGTCGTCGCGTCGTCGTCGTCGTCGTCGTCGTCGTCGTCGTCAACGGCGCCGCCGTCGTTGCCGTTGCTGTCGCCGCCGTCGCCGTCGTCGTTGTCTTTGTCCCCGGAGCCGCCGCTCGGCCGGCGTCGCGCGCCGCTGCTCGGCCGCCCCTGGGCGCGCGCGGGCCGCGCGGGGGGCGACGCTGCTCCGCTCCCCCGTCCGTTGACGTCGTCGACGTCGAGGATCAAGGTTCAAGGATTCGTCGTCGTCGTCGTCGTCGTACTCGTATTCGTATTCGTATTCGTATTCGCATTCGCATTCGTATTCGTATTCGTATTCGTCGTCGGCGGCGGCGGCGTCGGCGTCGTCTCGTGGGGCCTCCGCAGATCGGGCGGGGGGGGGGAGGAGGAGGGTAATCGAGGGTAAAAGAAGCCCACGCCGTGCTTGCACCGAGGGGATTTTGCCTGCGGTCTCGAGCAATGAGAGGGGCGTGTGTGTGGCTTTGGGCTGGTGCCTGGTTGGCCGCCCGACGGCGCCACGTGCGCTGTGTATGTATGTGTCGGGACGGGATGCAACACATAGGTCGCACCACACAATATGTACATCAACATATCATCAAATGGTTGCGCCATGCAGTTTGCACCAAAAGTTCGCAACGCATCGCATGCACCACACATAGTGCGTCATACTGGATGGACCACATAGCTTGCACCACGTAACTTGCACAAAGAAGCTAGCACCACCTAAATCACACAGCAGAAAGTATTTGTTGAAGACAACATACCCTACCACGACCACCACCACCACCGCCACCACCACCCTGGGCTTTGTCGATACCCCATGGGGCACTGTAAACTACAGATGTGTCTGTCTTGTCGTGCATTTTGCTTGAGGGTTCATACCATAATCTCGAACCTCTTATCGGCCACCTCCCCGTCATCCCTGCAAAAACCCCTGCCAAATGATATTATGGGCGCGCACCCATGCATCAAACCAGATGTCAGCTTCAAGAACCCTTCTTGCGAAACATCCACACGCGCGGGACGTCGCTCGCGCATGCCGAATACCTTCCCAACCCTTGGGGTTCGTAAGGAGTAAAATATCAAGTTTCAAAAGCACCTGTAAACATTCATATGGTTTGCCAAAGCGATACTTGGTTTGCAAGACAATTGCGGCGGTGATTACGATGATTGCTTGGCGCTGGCTGGCGCATTGCTGCGGCTGGGGACTTCCCAGCGCGTCTCGCAGGCCTCGCTCGCGCGCGGGCGCTTCAGTGCGAGTCGGTGGCTCGGGCGAGCGCGTAATCATGGTGACCTCGGCAAAAGAAGACACGCGGGTGATAGTCGCGATGGCGGTGACGATGACGGCGGCAAGGCCAATGACGGCGCCGATACTGGTCATGCCGATGACGACGATGACGTCCACGCGTCGGCGATGAAGGTGCTGGAGTGATTTCGACATGTTCGCGCGGCCGACACGCGCGAGTGGCTCGCATGTTATTAAGAACAGATCGCGCCCCCCCTCCCCACCGAGCGCGCACATGCGTTCGAATGACCTCGCGCGTGGGAGACCCGCGTGGTCGCAGGTGATGGAACTACTGAAAAATGTTCCTACGAATTCGCAAAAAAAAAGGCGCGCGGATTTCTGCTGCCAAATAACTCATGCGGCAAAGCCTTTTGTGATGTAGATGTGCTCGGGGATCACGGTCGTGATTTCTTTACGACGCCGAGGGTGTTTTGAAGGATTCCAGCATGCGCGCGCACCGACGCGCGCGTGTGGTCTGTGTCTTATTTGTTGCAAGGGGGTGTTGTAAATTCGACATGTTTTGTATGAGCGGACGCACGTGCATACGTTTTTGACAACGACGGTGGGTGACGGGGGGGGTAACGGCACCACCTGGGATGATTTGAACTCAATGAAATTATCCCAGTGCGACCCGACCTGGGAGTTGGAGCATCTAGGAAAGCAACATCTACATCTACACCGACAGCTACATTAACATCTACACCTGCGTCTACATCAACATCAACAGCGAGACTCACATCTACATCTGCATCTACACCTACATATACACCTACATCTACATCTACATCTACATATACATCTACATCTACATCTACATCTACATCTACACCTACATCCACATCTACACCTACATCTACATCTACATCTACATCTACATCTGCATCTACACTTTCGCATTGGTTTTGCTTTTGCTTTGCATTGCCTTGACTTTGCTTTTGCTTTTGCTTTTGCTTTTGCTTGATTTTGTTTTTGCTTTGCCTGCGCACAGACACACACACGCATGTTTTCGCATTCGCTCACCGGGTGTGCTTGAGAATGCTCCGTATCCAGTCTACACCGCACGACTTGGCATTGAGCAAGGTTGTGCAACACTGCTTGCGGGGGCTCCGGTCCGGCCATCGAGGCTAGCTCGGCACCTGTCGCACATTGCTTTTGCTTTGCCTTTCCTTTGCTTTGTTTTTGCTTTTGCTTTGCTTTGCTTTGCTTTGTGTTGCTTGTGCTTTGCTTTGCTGTTGCTGCTGTTGCTTTGCCTTTGCTTTGATGCTATTCTATGCTACTCTACTCTATGCTGCGCTATGCTATGCTATGCTATGCTATGCTGCGCTATGCTGCGCTATGCTGCGATATGCTAGGGTATGCTATGCTAGGGTATACTAGGCTGCGCTATGTTATGCTCGGCTATGCTATGCTATGCTATACTGCGCTATGATATGCTATGTTATGTTGCGCTATGCTATGCTATGCTATGCTGCGCTTTGCTATGCTAGGCTATGCTATGATATGCTATGCTGCGCTATGCTATGCTATGCTATGCCATGCTATGCTGCGCTATGCTATGCTATGCTATGCTACGCTATGCTATGCTATGCTGTGCTGCGCTGTGCTATGCTAAGCTATGCTATGCTATGATATGCTATGCTGCGCTATGCTATGCTATGCTATGCTATGCTATAATATGCTGCGCTATGTTATGATGTGCTATGCTATGCCATGCTATAATATGCTATGCTATGCTATGCTATGCTAATGATGCGCTGCGCTAAGCTAAGCTGAGCTAAGCTAAGCTAAGTTAGGCTAGGCTGGGCTAAGCTAAGTTAAGCTAGGCTAAGCTAAGATGAGATAAGCAACGCTAAGCTAAGGGGACGTAACTGGGGGAACCGCGGAGCGGATACTGGGGGAACCGCCCGGGGCGCTTTCCACTGCCCGGCCCCTTTAAGCCCAGAGAGTAAGAACCCTTCTAGGCAGAGCCTAAGTAGGGAACGAAGCGATAAGGCGGGATCAAGCTGTTCCACCCCAGGGGGCAACGATACATGCCATGGGGATAGATCCGAATTTCTTCGTTCAAAGGAAAATCTAACTTGTGCAATCCACGTAGTGCAATCTACGCGGCGCCATCCTTGTGGTGCAACACGTTGTGCAATCGATGTTGCGCAGTACGTTGTACAATCTACGTTGTGCAACGTATGTTGTGCAATCTATGTGGTGGAATCTGTGCGACGCACTCCGTGTGGTGCACTCTACGTTGTGGGCTCTGCTTGGTGCAATCTATCTCGCGCACTCCATGCAGCGCAAACTATGTTGTGCATTCTGTGTGGCGCGCTCAGCTCTGCGCAGCGCATGTGGTGCAATCCGCGCGGCGCGTCCTATGTTTGGCAATATGCGCGGTGCAATCTATTGCGTGCAATTAATCTTGACCGTCTTGAAGCTGTCCTCTCCACTGCTCGTGCAAACATCCCACCCTCCCACCCGCAACTTAGTCGCAAGACCTCTTCAGACAAGACCGTGACGGTAGGTACCACATGGCACTTGGCCACGACACCGACGCCGACGACGACAGCGACATCGACGACGACGGCGCCGCCGACACCGACTGCGACGACACCGACGACGTCTCCAATGTTTTCGACGACGACGACAGCGACGACGACGACACCGAGGACGACGACGACAACGACGCCGACGACGACGACGAGGACGACGACGACGTCGCCAACGGAGACGACGACGAGGGAGGAGAAAAAAACGACGACGGCGACAACGACGACAACGACGATGGAGGAGGGAAGACGGCGACGACGCCTACGACGAAGAAGGAGGAAGGACGGCGACGCCGACGACGACAACGACGAGGGATGAGGGAAGACGACGACGACAACGACGACGAAAACGACGACGACGGCGACGAAATAGGAGGGACGACGACGAGACGCCGACGACGGACGACGACGACGAGGGAGGAGGATAACGACGACGGAGGAGTGAAGACCACGACGACGACGACGACGACGACGACGGCGACGAAATAGGAGGGACAACGACGAGACGCCGACGAAGACAACGAGGGAGGAAGGACGACCACGGCGACAACGACGACGGAAGCGACGACGACGCCAAGACGACGACGACGACGACGAGGAAAGACAGAAGACGACGACGGCGACGGCGACGACGACGACGACGACGAGGAAGGATGGAGGACGACGACGACGACGACGCAAGAGCGCGCGCGCACATTTTTTTGGAAAATCCGTGTTGCGAAACCTTGTGTTTTTGTTAGTTTTTTGGACGCACGATTTCGAAATCCTTCCGAAACCGGAGGTTTTTGACGGATTTCGGCATACGCCCGCGACGACGCGCGCGTCTGCAGTTCGTCTCATTTTTTGCAGAGGATTCTCGCGACGGCACACGCGCAAGGGCGTTCGACAGATTTCGGCATGCGCGCGCGCGAAGCCCGTTTGGTAGCATTTTGTGGAAATCTTGGAAAACCGATGGTTTTCTTAAGATTTCGCAAGAGCTCGTGCGTAAGCTTTTTAAGCAAATCAGTGTTGCGAAACCATGTGTTTTTGTATGTGTTTTGGGAACTCAATTTTGAAATCTCTCCCGAACCGAAGGTTTTTGAAGGATTTTGGCATGCGCGCGCGACGACGCGCGCGTGTGCACTTCGTCCCATATTTTGCAAGGGATTCGTGAAACAAAGTGCTATGTTAGAGCAAAAAACGTCACCGCATAGTTTTTTATATAAGAAACAAGGGAACCTCAGGGGGGGGAAACCGGCCTGCCTGGGATGGTATGATTTCATATTTAGGATGGACGAATGTGCAGAATATATATATATATATATACACATATACAACTGAAATTATAA